CCCCTACTCTGCCACATCCCAGTGTCCTGTCAACTTCCTGCTACCAAGTTGTGGCACTCTATGGCACACCCCTCGCTACAATCTGTCAATTACCATGGTACCCATTTCTCAGGGCTTACTTTCCCTCATTAAAGTCATCTTTCCTTGGCTTTAGTAACACCAAATTCTCCTGAATTCTTCTATTTGAGGCAGCAACTTCCCAGTTTCCTCTGTGGGCCCCCTTTTCTTATACACTGGGATTCTGAGGCTTGTCCTACACTCCCTATTCACATGTTGCACATTCACCCACAGTGGAATCCGAAGGTTGTACATGAAGAAGCCCCACATCTCTCTAGCATAGACTTCTATCCTGAGTTGCAGACTCTAAAGTCTACAGGGCAGCTCTACTATATGTCCTTGAACTTGACATGTGGGACATCAGACTTAAAAAAAAAAAAAAAAAATTGGACACATTCTCCTCTCCCCTCTCCCCTGGCACCACCTCCTGTTTTCTATATCTGAATGGCAGGTCCACCAACCCATTTCTAAGCCACAAATTCAGGTGTTATCCTTGATTCTTCCTTCTCCTTCCACCTTTATATCACCAAATCTTATCAATTTTGCTTTCTAAATACCTTTTGATCACACACATACCCTTCTCCCTGCCCCCCTGTTTCAGTTACCACTATGTCAGCCGCACTAGAGTCTTTCAACAACCTCCTAGCCCGTGCCTCTTTCTAATCTTGGCACCTCCGGTCTCCACCCAGCAGCCCTAGCTGCATCTGTTCTCCAGCCTCATCCCCCGGTGCTCCCCACAGTATGGCTCAAGGTTCCCATGATATCTTTCACTTCTCAGCTAGACCATGCCATCTCTTGCCTCCCTCTGGGCTTTTTGCACCTGCTGTTTCCTCTGCCTGGAATGCTCCTTCCAGCCCTCTTTACTGCCTCACTCCCTCAACAAGGCTAACTCCTGCTCAACAGCCAGGGGAAGCAGTAAGGACAGTGGTCAAGACATATTCGAAGTAAAAAAAAAAGACATATTCCAAGTCAGGCTTCCTGAGTTCAACCACAGTTCCACCTCTTTCCAGGTGTGTGACTTTAACCTTTCCAAGCTTCAATTTCCCTTTCAGAAAAATGAAAATAATAATTGAGGACACATCATTGGTTGAGTACCCAGCTATCTCTCTTCTTCTTCACTAACAGAACCCCAGTTTCTTTCAGAGGCCGCATGCTCATTCTAGGGAATCCATCATGATTGGTTTAAGTAAATTATAGAAACCCACCTTCCTTTTGCCAGTGATTAATCCTGACCAATACAACTTAAAAAGAAGTTGGCTGAGGACTTCTAGAAACACAGTACTACCCTTAGAACCAGGCAAGAGAGGTCCCTTCCCTGAGCCCCATGCTTTAGAGGGTCTCATCTATCACAAACACACACGTAAAAGCTAAAGAACACACGGGCACCTCTGTCCCTGAGAGTCACACAGCACGACTTATAACCCTCAGCATGTGCTGTGATGACCAGCACTGTTCAGATGCCAGACCAACACTTCCCATCTCTTGCCCTACATCCTCAAAAAAAGGTAGCTGCCCTCCAAATGAGAAGGTTGTGGATTGTGCTTTGGCCACCACCAGAGACCAACATTGCTATGACTGTAAGGAAGACCTGAGTGGCAGGAGCCTTCACAGAAGAGAGAAGACAAATGAGCCTGTTGGGTCCTTCCTCTCAGCACAAAGGCAGCACGTTCTTGCAAAATAAAGTATAGAAACTCAGGAGTCCTGAATATCCATTTTCTTGCTTCTGCTCCTATTCAGGGTTCCAGAGGTACTCACACATCAGAGCTATAGTAATGCCCGCTGCAAACGGCGGTTGAGGAACACTTTGCAAAATTACATCCTATTGCATATATGCATGTCATACATGCACATACTCCTCCTCCCGCACTCATATGAAACAGAGCATGCATGAAACATAATACTAATTCTTTATTTTGCAAATGAAATGGACATTGAGCACTATAACTGCAGATATTAAATTCTTAAAAAAAACTCAGATTTAACTTTCAAAAATTTGAAATGGCTTCTTAGCTTTAAAATAATTTTGATTACAATTTTAACACTAATTGTAAATTTTAATTTGCTTTTTACTTTTCATCGATAAATGTGAACATTTTAGAAGAAAAACACCTTGCTAAAAAAGATAATTTACATATTATCTCATTTGAATATAATGGCATAATTTTGCATACAAGTTAAAGTCTCTTTTTTTTTTAAAGATTTTATTTATTTATTTATTTATTTGTGAGAGAGAATGAGAGAGAGAGAGCATGAGATGGGGGAGGGTCAAAGGGAGAAGCAGACTCCCCGCTGAGCAGGGAGCCCGATGCAGGACTCGATCCCGGGACTCCAGGATCATGACCTGAGCCGAAGGCAGTCGCTTAACCAACTGAGCCACCCAGGCGCCCCAAGTTAAAGTCTCTTATGCTTGCATTTAAAACCAGCATTTCACAATATAAACGGTAAAAGTTGTGGTCACAATTTAATATTGTAATTTCTTTTCTTAGAACATTAAGTAGCAAATAAATTGCCATAGTCAAAAGAAAGATTACAAAGAAAGTAAAAAAGCTTTACATTTTAGTACCTTAAACGGCACTTTTCCCCCCGCTTTCTAAACCAGGAATCCTGCATTTTCATTTGCACTGGACCCCATAAATTACATAGCCACCCCTGATGGTGGAGTAGAAAGAGAACAAGCATCTGAGTCCTTGATGTCATTGGTGAGCCCCTGCCAACCTGTGGACCACCAACCCCATATTTCTTGTTTTGTCCACAATAAACGCCATCGTGACTAAAGCCACTGTTACAAAAGATTTCTCTTACTTGCAACCAAAAGCACCCCTAACCACTAAACTGCTACCCAGCCCAGGGTTGTTCTGAGGATGAAATGAGGTAAGTCCAGTGACCAGCCAACAGGTCATTTTCGAGCACGGAGTATGAGCGGGCACTACTCTAGTGTGGAGGTGCCGCAGCCACGCTGGGCACGTCACGGGTTTCCATAGGACTCAACACCCCCACACAGTACTTTTCAGAGTAAAAGAGGGAACAAATAAAAGTGATGTCAGGACTAGGGCCCCTGGGTGGCTCAGTCGTTAAACGTCTGCCTTCAGCCCAGGTCATGATCCCAGGGTCCTGGGATCGAGCCCCGCATCGGGCTCCCTGCTCCGCGGGAAGCCTGCTTGTCCCTCTCCCACTCCCCCTGCTTGTGTTCCCTCTCTCGCTGTCTCTCTCGCTGTCAAAAAATAAATAAAAATTAAAATTAAAATTAAAAAAAGTGATGTCAGGACTAAAGGACAGTACCAGGCCAACTAATAAGAGTAAACACTCGACAAATGTTGGCTCTTCTTATTCATGGATTAACTTAAACATCACTTCTCCAGGAAGGCATTCCCAGTTCCCCAAGTCTGCATGACAGACCCACAGCACCCTTTGTGTCCTCTAACACAGCAATTCCCACAGACTGTAGCCCCAGAGCCTTTGACGAAGCCATCCACTGCACCAGACTATAGTTCCAACAAGATGGGTACTCTGTCTGTCCCATCCTCTGTTGTATCCCCAGGGTCTCACAAATAGCAGGCACTCAATTAATACTTGCTAACTGAAATTATTTGGTCTCCTTCTGTATATGCTTGCCTAACCCTGGTGATTCCACCATGAATTAAATGCTCTTATATGGGCATTTGGGTTCTGGGGAAACAAGACCTGTATTTTATTCACTGATGTGTGTCCTCTGAAGTCCTAACTGCAGTGCCCAGTAGGTAATGGTACTCAAGCAGTATGTGCTGCTCTTCCAGAATCCTCTCCAATGGCCAGACCACGTCTGTGGGGAGGTGAACAACAGGCAGGGAGGCAGGACCTACTGCTCTCATCGCATATCATCTACCACATTATCTAGTTCTAGAAGTTGAGAATGAAGAATCAAGATGGGAGATCCCATTCTAGGCACATGGGCCATATTTCTCTCCTGTCAACTAATTTTTAAATTAGGTCTTAAAAAAAAAAAAAAAAGATTTTATTTATTTATTTGACAGAGAGAGAGACTGAGCACACAAGCAGGGGAGAGCAGCAGAGGGAGAGAGCTTTCCACTCCAGGCTTTCCACTGAGCAGGGAGCCCAATTTGGGACTCAATCCCAGGACCCTGGGATCGTGACCTGAGACAAAGGCAGATGCTTAACTGACTGAGCCATCCAGGTGCCCCTAAATTAGGTCTTTCTTGCCATAGCAAGATGTATCGTACAGGCGGGGAGGAGAGCCCAACATAGTAGCTCTCCCTATCCACCGGGAACCTGAGCTTACAACCATTAGCACCTCCCTCTTCCCCTTCCCGAATCAGCTTGCTGGGGCTGTTGACTCAGTAAACCAACTCTCCAGAACATCCTTCAGAAACAGCATGCTAGAGGCAAGCAGTGGACCAGAGCTGGGCACTCACCATCCCCTCCCAAGAATTAAGAGACAGCCCCAACACAGGCTCCAAGGAGTCAGAAAGGAAGGACAATAACGGAAAACACAGAGGCTGCGTGCTCTTCCCTTTTCACATGCAATCACCCCATACTCCCTTTGGGGAACAGATAAAACCACAGCAGGCAGTTCGGCTGGCCCACCCCGGCTAATTACTGCCACCAGACTCCACTGGCAGAGTCCCCTTCAGGGTTCAGGGGAAGGGGAACTGTGCTCTGAACATTCTTCAGCAAAAAGGACCAGCTATGGTTTGGGGACTAATATCACACCAGGCATCTAGCTGCCCACAGCCATGCCAGGGACCCCGCTCTACCAGGGACCCTGCTACAGCCAATCAAGTACACCAGAGCCCACTTTACATCACCACACTCACTATCTTCTCTAAAGCAATCACTCCAACAGAAGGGGGCTAAAAATCATGCAGACATCTGGGCTACTCCCACAAAACACTATCAATTTTGTTTTTCCCATATTGTGTACCCACGATTTCAGAAACACTCCTTACCTTTCACTACTCAGAAAGCTTCTTTCTCCACCTGGTAAGGGATCCTTCATCTTGCTCCCCTCATTAATGTATAAGTCACTGGAACAGCGATTAAACCTAAAATGAAATTTTGAGTTAATTATCTATCTTTAGACTTAGAATTAGCTTCTGTGATCAAAAGTGGATTTTTTTTTTCTAGAACCCTGTGGATTTTCTCCCCAGCCCCTGATATCTTACTTTCCTACTCTCTCTTTAAAAAAAAAAAAAAAAAAAAAAAACATTTAACTTCACTAGGAAAAAAATAAATGAACCATTTCTGGTTGTGGGAGGGGGTAGGGGGAAACAAGCAAATACAGTGAGGTCCCCCTGGCCCCCATCTGTTCCAAATCTTCTCCTCACAGGATGTAATGTCTGAAAAGCAAGAAAAATATTCCTTCCTCTTCCAACATTCAGCAGGATCTTGCATGCAAAGAGAAGAATGTCTGGTTACTCTGTGGGTTTTCATCTGCTTTTTAACTCACATGTTGCCGAATTACACTGGCCCCTCCATCCCATTTCCCCCACTTCCCAAAGAAAAGCAGTGGGATGGCTGGGAGGCAGCAGGGTTCACCACTAGCAAGGAACATCCTGGTTCTGGCAAAGCTCCCTCCCCTCCACCAACCCCTTTGGCACAAAGGATTAGTTCTAAGTCTGGCCAATGACTTCTGCAGAGTTCTTTGCTGAAGACTTGCCAGAGGGATGCCTGGGCCCCCAGAGGAAGTGGGGTCAGCCCCAAGAGTAAAAGGAGTGGGCTCAGAATCCCGAACTTCTTGTTCTGCGCGCTCACCCCCTGCTTCCAGGCACTTTGCACGGATGTCCACACAAAGCCAACTCCTGGACATCTGAACAGGAAGGATGTTCCCCAGTAGCTCGCAACAGCCGTCACTGATGCCTTTCCAGGACCGGGAGGGCGATATTTATAGGAATGGCAGCCAGCCAAACCAGGGCAGCTCCAACTTTATTTCAACCAACCCTCCTCGCGTCTTCTGTAGTTCTCCTTCGAGTTAAATGGGGAGGCATTCCTCCCTTTATTGCTTGAGTTTTACTCAGGGAAGGAGACTCTCATTAAAATGACTGAAAAGCTGGAACAGGACCCACATGGTCCGCCCCTCCCCCTTGGCTCTCAGTCTTCCTCCCCTGTGCCCCCCAGCCACGTCCACCTCCACCTTCTTGACCTCCCCAGACACTCTCCTTGGCACATGCGCCTTTTTTATACCTGGGCAACACAGAACCCCTTGCAGCCCTCCAGGTGAGCAAAACTCCCTCTTAACCTGGGCCCAGATTATCCTTCCGGCCACTCCCTCATCCTTTCTTATCACATCCTACAAGAAAGACCCTGCAGGGTCTCACCCACCCCCACACACGCCTTCTCTGACCTTCTTTCCTTCCACTTTTCCGCTGCAGACCTCTTCCTCCTCACGGTTGCTCAGACACACCAACCCACCCCTCACGGCCTTTCCACTTGCTGTTTCCTCTTCCTGGGACACTTTCTTCTGGGGTGTTTGAAAGTCTGGCTCTTTGACACCGTTTACATTTCTGCTGGGAAATTACCTTCCTCAAGAGGCCCTGCTAACACTGTCTGATAAAAAGCAGCCCCCATCTCTCTCTAGCTGCTCTCTCCCACGCGTCCTTTATTTATTATTATTATTTTTTAAGATTTTATTTATTTATTTGAGAGAGAGAATGAGAGAGAGAGAGCACATGAGAGGGGGGAGGGTCAGAGGGAGAAGCAGACTCCCTGCCGAGCAGGGAGCCCGATGCGGGACTCGATCCCGGGACTCCAGGATCATGACCTGAGCTGAAGGCAGTCGCTTAACCGACTGAGCCACCCAGGCGCCGGCGTCCTTTATTTTAATTCGCAGCACCTTTCACCACCACCAAACACTCTCTTTGACCAAACTTCTGTAAGGCTCCTCCGAGCCCTCGTCAACTAGGCCTCCACCTTGGCCAGGCTTCAACAATGAGCCCTGCTAATGAGCCCATACTCTTGATATCTGCCCAAATTCCTCCACCCCCCACCTCTGATGTTTAACTGCTTGGCCTGCCTTCTGCAAGAATCCTGGGGATTTAACAAGAATTTCCCCACCCTTGATGTCTCCTCCATCCACGGACCCACTTCCACTCATTACAGACGTCCAGCTGTCTTTGTTATATTCAGCGTTGAGCTCACTCTCTTTTCCCTACAGAAACAGTCCTGATCAAGCCTTCCTTACCGTTTTAACCTGTGCCACAAGAAGTTTTCTTCACCACCACCTAACATGTGGTCTTTTCGTTCATCTGTGTCTCCGCACTGGATTGGCAGGGTCTGCACACGTTCTGCTCTCCAGCAGCCTCCTAGCTTCTAGAGCAGTGTCTGACATCCCTCCGACGCTCAACAACTCTTTGTTGAATGAACAAACCTAGCTACTTCCACTTGTCTCTCACTGTCCGTTTACCTGCCGCCTCCCCTGGGAAGTCATTCCTGAATCTTCCAAGGCTTGACCCCGTTCCTCACCTAGCAGTGATCCTACTGATCACAAGGGATTAAGTCTCTGGTTTAATATGTATATTAACATGTACATGAATATGTATGTATAATTTGCTACCTATATAATATACTGATATATAGTACAAAGCAGAGCAATCTATCTTGACCATCCACCCTCCTTCCCTTCCACGCCACCCACTTCCAGTGTTTTCTCCATCTATACAGTCCGACACATGTCTGTTTGTGTGAGTCTCCTCCTCCCAGCACATAGACACTGCATGACCCCTAGCAGGGGCTTAATTAAAAAGGGGAGGGGAGGGGCGCCTGGGAGGCTCAGTTGGTTAAGCGACTGCCTTCCGCTCAGGTCATGATCCTGGAATCCCAGGATCAAGTCCAGCATCCGGCTCCCTGCTCAGCAGGAAAGCTGCTTCTCCCTCTGACCCTCCCCCCTCTCATGCTCTCTCTCTAATAAATAAAATCTTTTAAAAAAATGGAAAATAAAAATAAAAGGGGGAGGGGAGTGCTTGATATCTGAGTGGTGAGTTCAGGCTCCACATTGGGCGTAGAGTTTACTAAAATAAAAAGGGGAAGGAAGAGGAGCAGTGTGGGGCTGAGAGCCAGGTCTCTGCTCTCCAAAACCAAGCCCAGCTTGGCCCCCATCTTCCTGGCTTTGTCCATCCACAGAAGGAGAGATGCCACACTGCAGGCTGCCCTGCAAGAGGGCGGTTAGTCTACCGAGGGTTCATTAGGCCTGGAAAGCCATGGGAGCCAGGGCCCTGTGGTTGGTGAATTCCAGCCTGCTTGGAATCTCGGGGGGGGGGGGGGGGGTAGCATGGGGGTGGGGAGAGTTGATTGTAGAAACCGCCCAAGTAGGTTTCCACATAAAGGAAAAGCAAACAGAGGAAGGCTCTTCCTCAGCCCTGTGAGCCTCTCAGAGGAGGGCAAACCTTCAAGTGTTTGTTGAAAACCTAATCGGATTAAAAATGCTTTGAAAGGGCTGGAAGAGGAAATAGACTCTGACCCCCTCCACTAGCCTGCAGCCTAAGCTCTGTCACTTTCCCTTCCCGCGGCCTCTGTCTCCGGGTACTATACGTGTGTATGTACGGAGACAGACCCAGGTCTAGGAAGGTACCTGGGGCAGAAGTGGGAACCAACCGTCGTCGTCGTCCACTGAGAGCTACCAACTCCCCTAACTGCCAAGAAAGAGAGCTTCTGGAGACAGCTCAACCAGCCAGGATTGGAAAAAGGGTGAGCGCTACACATAGCCTTCACTTCACTCACCCCAGAGTCTGGAAGATACTTCAAGTGCCGGGCCCCTGCTTCCTGGGAGGCTCTTAACTATCAGCCACCCCACCCCCACCCCAGGTGGGTGGGTCTCCTTTCTCACAGCCAATTCATCCCAAGAAGTTCCAGGTGAAGTGAGTGTCCCAAGTGGGTTTGTCAAACAATAACTAAAGAAAAAGACAATCCTTACCAAATACTCCAGATTTTGGTTCTCTCTCTGTTGGACAACTTTACCAGATCCTGTCACCCAGTACCATCATGCTAGGATGACCGAGCACCCCAGGTTGCCAGGGACTGTCCTGGTTTGAGCCCTTAGAGTATCCCATCCCAGGATGGTCGGGTCCATCACTGCGGCTTCCCCAACCTCCTTCCCTCCCTCCCCATGGTTTCAGATAGGCACATATTTGGGGAAGGTGGGCTTCCTGATATTGTTCCCTAATGCTCATGCCCTTGCTGGGTTTTAGAAGGAAGGAAAGTGGTGAATCTATAGGTTGAATTACTTTCTTTCAACCAAATATTTTAATTTAAAAAGAAGGAGATAGAGAAGAACACTGCCAAACACTGAGCGCTTTCTCTGCTGCATATACAAGGCCTTCTTGAATCCTATGAGGTAGACACCATTTTCCAGATTGGGAAAGTGTGGCCCCATATCACAGATACTAAGTGGCAGGGTTGGGACCCCCATCCAGGCAGTGACACCAGAGCTCCCAAACTTACTGTCTTATATTGTGATCCCTAAAGATGAAGAGTCCTTGTCATTTTGATCATGGAGGACAGAAACAACCTGAAGTGACTTATGCCAGAGGGACAAAGCACGCACAAGTGGAGCAACTCACCAAGAAAACGGGATTGTGAGACTGTGAGCATAAGCTCTCCTATAGATGGTACCCCTAGCTGCTACGGGGAGATGGCCAGTCTCGCGGACAGTTATGGCACCGAGGCCCTGCAGAGCAAGGCAGAGCTTCACCCCAGAAGCCCCTAACACGGGCCCCGCCCCCGTCCACCCTCCCAAGGGCTGCCAGATGAATCTGAGTGTGTTCCTCCAGCCCTGTCTGGCATGTCAGCAGCTACACTGCATAATAAAATCCAGGTCCCTCAGCCCGAGTCTCTTGTCTGTTGCCCTGAAAATAGAAGTGAGGGCCGACTCTACAGGAACCAATTTGGCAGCATAGGTCATAAACCTTGATACAAGTGCATGCCCTCTGACTTTATAATCTCTCTTCTAGGACTTTTCCCCAAGGAAATGGTTGTTAACTGGCAGTGACTGACAGAAAAAGGGTGACATTTTACACATAAAGGTGTTCATACATAGGGTTATCTGCAATGAGGAACTTGGAATAATTCCTATGACTAACGATAAAGAAATGGTTAACTTAACTATGATGCATCTGATATATCCATTCAATTGGATATTATGGAACCACTGAAATGTATGTTTATGAGTTGAAAATAGCATGGAAAATGCTTCGGCTACCATGTTAAGCATAACAAGCAGGAAATAAAATTATAAAGACAATGTGATCACAAGTATGTGAAAATAAAAATACTACCTGCAGGGAAAGGACCAAAAGGAAATGAACGCCATGAAGAAGAACTTGCACTTACTAAGTAAGCATCCTGCTAATGAACTGCTTTATATTCTTATCTCACCTAACCTTCATGACAAGTTAGGAACTACTTTGATCTTCCCTTTACCAAGGAGAAAATCCAAGCTCCAGGAAGATAATTAAGCTGCCTAAAGGGTGCCCCCAGCTAATAGTGGGGAAAGAAGGGATCTGAATTCAGATTTGGCCGATTTGAGGCCCGTGCCCTCATCCTCCACACTGTTCCACACCCAGGTGTAGGCAGGAGCTTAATTTGGCGGGTGAACTGCAGGCAAGGGTTTCCCTCGACTTTCCACTTTATTTTCCACATTGTCTATATTAACCACTATGACACTGTTGAAACATTTTTTTTTTTTCATTTCAAAGGAATAATCCAGGTTTATAACACTTGGTATGTTGTATTCCTTTTTTAATGTAGGAAACAATACACTCAGGACCAAACCACATTTAACAACAACAAACCTTCATCTTCCATTCTCCACAGTTTGGCTCTCTGCTGTCCTTCTGGCCACATTTCCCACACTCCTTTCTCATCGTCGTTAAATCACTAAGCTATTAGGTGACATGGTCGGGTCTACAGTTCGGAAAGAACACCTCTGGTGGGGAGAGACAGGTGGAGAGGCAGCTGGAGGTGGTGGGGGCAGGTGAAGGGGTCCCTCTGGAGATAAGCCAGCAAATGGCCAGGGCATAACACACTCGTGGAAGGGACATGCTCACAGTGTCCGAGAGAAGACAAACCATCCATGGAAAAGCATCAGCAGTAAACAAAAGAAATAGCAGGAGGGGGCGCCTGGGTGGCTCAGTCGGTTAAGCGACTGCCTTCGGCTCAGGTCATGATCCTGGAGTCCCGGGATCGAGTCCCACATCGGGCTCTCGGCTCAGCGGGGAGCCTGTTTCTCCCTCTGACCCTCCTCCCTCTCATGCTCTCTGTCTCTCATTCTCTCTCTCGCAAAAAAAAAAAAATTAAAAAAATTAAAAATTAAAAAAAAAAAGAAATAGCAGGAGGACTGGGAGCCAGGACCTGAGGGGATCCCACCCCCCCACTCCCATTCGCCACTGCCGCTGTCTCAGGGCCCCCTGGCTGTGTCTCCAAGGAAGCCAGGAGACACGAAGGCCTTGAGCCAGGATAGAGGTGGTGAGGGCAGTAGGACCACCCCCAGCCACACGGCCATTCTGGACCCCGCCTCCCTTGGGGTGCTTTTTTTCTAGTTTGAGGGAGAAAGCAGGCTTTTTTACAAGACAGCTTGGCTGCAACAGAGCAGTAGCAACACAAAGTGTGAAAAGTTGCAACAAAGATGCTCATATTTCACTCACTTTTCCCCATCTTAGCACATTGGAGGGCTTTCCAAGTAAGGAAGCCATAATATCGCTGGGGAAAATAAAATGCAAAGGAGGAAACTTTCAACAGTGTTTCTTAGCCTTTGGGGGGGTCTGAGAACGGCCTCCGGAGAGGCTGTTTAAATGCTGATTTTTCAGGCTCACCCGTGAACATTCTGATTTCATAGATCCTGCTCAAGCTCAAGAGTCTACCTTTTACTGAGCATCTCCCCAAGTTGCTGTTGGATCCTACCTGCTAAGAAACCCTGACTTACAGTGTCTTGCGGATGTAAGGATTGACATCTGCTTCTCCCTCTGCCCCTCACCCCGCTCTTGTGCGCTCTCTCAAATAAATAAAATCTTAAAAAAAAAAACAAAACCTTTTTTTTAACAGTACCGCATTAGGTAAAGTAGAAAACAGACATACGGGGTGTCTGGGTAGCTCAGTAGGTTAAGCATCTGATTTTTGGTTTTGGCTCTTGTCATGATCTCAGGGTTGTGAGATCAAGCTCGCCTCGGGCTCTGTGCTGAGAGTAGAGTCTGCTTGGGATTCCTTCTCTCCCTCTCCTTCTGCCTCTCTCCCCCACTCACGCACATGCTCCCTCTCTCTCTCTCTCTCCCTCTAAAATAAACAAATCAATTTAAAAAAGAAAGAAAGAAAAAAAAAAGAAAGAAAGGAAAGAAAGAAAGAAAGAAAAAGAAAGAAAGAAAGAAAGAAAGAAAGAAAGAAAGAAAGAAAGAAAGAAAGAAAGAAAGAAAGAAAGAAAGAAAAGAAAACAGACGTTCCCCTTCACTGTCTCTCCTCCACCACCAGGCTAATCCTACTCTTCAAACTAACCAGTGTGAATAGTCTGGTACATATTAGCAAACAAGTCAGACTTTTTCTCTGTGTCTTTTCATTTTTTAACAATAACTTATGCCTACAAGAATGTGATGAAAATGACCCTCAAAATTACTGGTCGAAATGCAAATTAATATAGCCCTTTTGAAAAGCAATTTAGCAATGTATATCAAAAATCATAAAACATTTAGGGTGCCTGGGTGGCTCAGTTAGTTAAGCGACTGCCTTCGGCTCAGGTCATGATCCTGGAGTCCCTGGATCAAGTCCCGCATCGGGCTTCCTGCTCGGCAGGGAGTCTGCTTCGTCCTCTGACCCTATCCCCTCTCAGGTGTTCTCTCTCTCTCATTCTCTCTCTCTCAAATAAATAAATAAAATCTTTTTTAAAAAAATCATAAAACATTTATATTCTAAGACCTACCAATTCCTTGTGTAAGAATCCCTCCCAAGGATAGCACTCTCCTGGAATAGTATGCATTTTTTTTTTTAAAGATTTTATTTATTTATTTGAGAGAGAGAGAGCACGAGCTGGAATGAGGGGAGGGGCAGAGGAGGAAGAAGAGGGAGAGAGAGAATCTCAGGCAGACTCCCAGCTGAGAGTGGAGCTCGAAGCAGGGCTCAGTTTCAGGAATGCTGAGATCATGACCTAAGCTGAAATCAAGTCAGACACTTAACCGACTTAGCCACCCAGGCATCCCCCTTGTTTTTTCAATTGTAGTAAGAATACTTAACATCAGATCTACCCTATAAACCAATTTTTGAGTGTATTATACATTACTGTTGACTATAGGGACAATGTTGTATAGCAGATCTCTAGAACTTACTCATCTTGCTTAACTAAAACGTTATGCCCACTGATTAGTAATTCCCATTTCTCCCTCCCTCCCTCCAGCCCCTAACACCACCATTCCACTGTTTCTGTGAAGATTACTCTACATACCTCATAAAGGGAATCATGTAGTATTTCATTTAGCATGATGTCCTTAAGGTTCATCCATGTTGTCACATATTGTAGAATGTCCTTCATTTTTAAGGCTGAATAGTACTCCATTATATGTATATACCAGTTTCTTTATCCATTCATCTGTCGATGGACACTTAGATTGCTTCCACATCTTGGCTGTTGTGAATAGTGCTACAATGAACATAGGAGTGCTAATATCTCTTTGACATCCTGATTTCAATATTTTTCGGTAAATATCCAGAAGTGAGATTGTTAGATCATAGGGTATTTCTATTTTTAATTTTTTTTTAAGAACCTCCATACTGTTTTCCAAAGCAGCTGCACCATTTTGCATTCCTCCCAAATGTGTGCAAGGGTTCAAACGTCTCCACATCCTTGCCAACACTTTTTTTTCTTTTATAAAAGCCATCTTGACAGGTGTGAGATGATATCTCATTGTGGTTTGATTTGCATTCCCCTGATAATTAGTAACAGTGATCATTTTTTCATTTACCTGTCAGCCTCTTTGTCCTCTTTAGAGAAATGTCCTCTCAAGCCCTAGCCGACTTGAATCAGGAAATCAGGTTTTTTAAACTATTGAGTTTTAAGAAGTATGCAATTATTTAAAATGACATCATGAAGTAACAAAGAAGATAGTTCTGATGATGTTAGTGAAAAAGAAAAACAGCATAAACATTTTACATATCCTCCAATTATCAAGTTTTTATTTTTCTAATTTAGTTTTTTAAAATAGGTTAAACTAAGGAAATAAAACTAAATTGCTAAACAGTATGTTACGGAGGTGTTATTTGAGTGAAACTTCTCTCTCTCTTTTTTTAAACTTGCAGGTTTGGTTTTTTTTTAAGGTTTATTTCTTTATTTTAGAGAAAGAGAGAAAGTGCATGTGCACGAGCCCAGGGGAGGGGCAGAGGGAGAGAGAGAGATACAGACTCCCTGCTGAGAGCAGAGCCCTAAGTGGGGCTCCATCCCAGGACCCTGAGATCCTGACCTGAGCAAAATCAAGAGTTGGAAGCTCAACCGAATGAGCCACCCACGCGCCCCTTGAGTGAAACATTTCTATTATTTCTCTGTTGAGTGCTCAGCACTTGGATTTTGCAGAAAGACTGACAGACCTGGGTGAGAAATCCATCTCCCACTTTCCACATGTACAACTTCTTTTTTTTAAAGTAGGCTCCACTCCCAGCATGAAGCCCAACCCGGGGCTTGAGCTCATAACCCTGAGATCAAGATCTGAGAGGAGATCATGGGTCGGACGCTTAACAGACTGAGCCACCCAGGCGCCCCTCCACATGTACAACTTTGAGGACTTCATGTAACTTCCCTGAGCCTCAGTTCCTTATGGACATAGTAGGAGATAAAAATTATCACCTAAACTTAATTCAAGAATTAAAATAAGGGGCACCTGGGTGGCTCAGTCGTTAAGCGTCTGCCTTCAGCTCAGGTCATGATCCCAGGGTTATTTGTCTGTATTCTCTGTGATGGGTCACATTTCACAAATCAATACTTAAACACTGGGATTTAAAAATGGGGGTCAAAATTTTGATAGCTCTCATTTTTCTCATAGGACCCTCTCTTAAGCCCATTCTTTACCTCGGAAAGGGACATTGTATGAAATGCATTACAGTGACAAGGCACTATGCCCGGTTAATTGAAATAATGAAATGGGAATAAGATTTGCAAATTGCAAAGTACCTAAAAGTGTAATGCATCATGAATGCATTTGAATGGGATGACCCCGAACGGACAGCGAGGGGACAAAGGCCCAAATACCTAGAGTATTTATGTGAGGTACAATAATGCATTACATGAACACATTAAATACAGGGGACAGGCAAGTGAAGATGGAATGTGGAGGGGCCGTGTGTCAAAAAAAAAAATCACCAGACTCTTCCAGTGTCTGGGCAAATGCTTCCAAGAGGAGGCAAGACTTTGAAGGGTAATGAGAGTAAGAATAATTATCTCGGGATGCCTTTCAGCCAATCAGAAGAACAATTTCTGGGACTACTTTCATCTCATTTATCACTAGTCCTGTCTATTAGGCTTGGCTCCACATCTTTTACTTTGGAGTTAATCACAAGGGTTACTCTGAGCCCATGATTATAGGAAGTCTCTCCTTTCTAAGGACCATTTAGAAATAGAAACTAAAGTATGACTATTTTATTATCATTACCCTGATAGTGTGGTCAGTCTTACTCTTCCTAAAATTCCAAAAGCACTTGTTCCAGAAAATATACAACTATATCTAGTTAATAGTAAAAAAAAAAAAAAAAAAGAAGGGGTGCCTCTGTTGGTTGAGCATCTGACTTTGGCTCAGGTCATGGTTTCCAGGTCCTAGGATTGAGCTGTGCATCGGGCTCCTTGCTCAGCAGGGAGTCTGCTTCTCCCTCTGCCACCTCCCGCCACCCCCCACTTATGTTCGCTCTCTCAGATAAATAAATAAAATCTTTTAAAAAATAGTAAAAAAAAAAAAAAATCCTCTTTATTCACCCCATCTCCTATCCTTCCCTGGAGGGAACTGCTGCTTGGATATGTATTCTTCCACACCTTGAATTTTACATATACATATGATATATTCACATGTGCACGCATGTGTGCACACACACACACACAATTATTTTTACACAGATAAGATCACACTCCCTGCTACTTGAATTTTTCACTTGAGGATAACTCAATGACATCTTTCTTTATCTGGAGTTACAGGCATGTGTGTGGTGGTTCTAGACCTTGGGGCCTGCCAGCTTGAAGTCCAGCTTCCCCACTTACTAGCTATGTGATCTTAGGCAAATTACTTAATACCTCTTTCCCCATCTATAAAAATATTCTTTTTCTTTCCTTTTTTTAAGATTTTATTTATTTATTTGAGAGAGAGAGAGAGACAGAGCATGAATGGGGGGGGGAGGAGGCAGAAGGAGAGGGAGAAGCCGACTCCCAGCTGAGCAGAGAGCCCAACGTGGGGCTCGATCCCCAGACCCAGAGATCATAACCTGAGCCGAAGACAGACGCTTAACCAAATGAGCCACCCAGGCGTCCCCTATAAAAATATTCTAATAGTAACCAAAGGACTGTTGTGAAGATGGAATGGGTTAACATTATAAATATGTAAATATTATAAAATACATAAAGCACTTAGGATAGCGTGTAGAGTAAGTACTATATGTGTGTTGGCCATTGTCATTGTAGTAGACCCCCTTATCCATAGGCAGTACATTCCAAAACCCCCAGTGGATGCCAGAAACCATGGATTGTTTCAAGCCCTATATATGCTATGTATTTTCCTATACATACATACTTATGATAAATTTAAATTTAAGAATCTGGCACAGTAAAAGATTAACAATAGTAACCAATAATAAAATAGAACAATTGTAACAATACACTGTAATAAAAGTTCGGTGAATGTGGTCTCTCCCTTTCTAGCAAAATACCCTATTTACTGTACTGACCTTTCTTTCTGTGATCAAGGGAGATGATGAAATGCCTCCATGATGAGATGAAGTGAAGTGAGGTGAATGACACAGGAACCATGACAGAGGGCTAGGCTACGTTCGACCTTCTGCAGATTCTTCAGAAGGGTCATCTGCTTCTGAACTTCGAACTTCAGTTGACCATGGGTAACCAGAACTCTGAAAAGCAAAACTTGGATTGGTGGGGGAGAAGGGAACTCCTATATTTGCTTTGTTCTCTTCTTTAATGCTCATGTAGTGTTCCATCATGTGGATGAACTGTAACTTATGAAGCCCATCCCCTGCTGAGACACACATTGGCGATTTCCTACTTTTTGCATTTCTGAACATAGATCTTTGTATATGTGGGCAAACATCCCTCTAGGATAGTTTCCAAGGAATGGAATTGCTGCATTGAAGGTCATATTCCTTTTTTATGAAAGATGTTGCCAAATTTCTCTCCAAGAGGCTGCACTAATTGACATCATGGCCAACGGTTTATGCGTGCCTGTCTCCAGGCATCTCCACAACCCTGGCAGCCTGGATCTTTGCCGTCCTCATTTCTGCATTCGCCTTCCCTCCGTGAAACCTCAATCAAAACCACCAACAATGCATTTGTTGAAGTCCCCGGGACACCTAATCCCTTTGTCTTTCCTAAAAAGGAATGAGGCGTTTTTAGCCCTGACAGGCCTTCAGTTGCCTGGACACAGCCCTGGGTTGACTTTGAAAAATACAAATAAAACGCACTTGCTGTTCCCTAACACCCTCAGAGAAGCTCAAGGGGGCCCACGTGAGGCCCACTGCTCTGCTCTCTATCACGTGCAAAAAGATTTTCAATAGCAGCTGGTGTTTTCCTGGGTGGAGATCAGAGCCAGCGTTTGTATATAAATATTATCCGAGGGCTGGAGGGAGAATCAGGCTAGAAGCAGAGGCTGCAACATCCCAGTTGTCTTGTTAATGGGGGGCGGGGGGATGCAAGAGCAGTGAGCACCCCCATCCTTCTCCTGAGCTCCCTGTAGAAAGGCGAAGCGTCCCAGGCAGGTGCCCACGCCGCCAGGGCGGCTTGTAATAAAACCGAGGTGGGAGTGGGTGCAGAGCGTGGCTGGAAATCCACAGCCGGCAGAGAGGGAGGGCAGAGAGGTACATCTACAGGGCCCAGACTGCGGTTCTGTCGCCTGTCTGGCAGAGTGAGCCCCTGCAGCCACCTGGCTCCTTAGACCACAGCTCCCGTCCCGTAGGGACATGATGACCACTGACTGACGAGGCCCCTCTGGCTTCCTCTCCAGTGTTGCACGTCACGGGGTGACTTGTGGCTTTGCTTGAGGACCTCTCCGAACAGAGGCAAGCTGTGCAGAGACGGGCTCTGGCCCAGGCAGGAATGTCAACAATTCTGAGGGTTGCCCCTGCTAAGCTCTGCAAGCCCAAAGCCATTCATCTTCCAAACTTGTTTTTCAGGCTTACTATTTTATGGCTCAAAACCCATTCACCTTTGTTCTTTCAACTGTCTGCTTGCCTCCCACCATTCCCAGGAACCCAGGTCAGGTCAGGGAGGCGGGAGAAGGCAGGCGAGCCTCTGCAACAGGGGGTTCTATGGATCAGAGCAAATTCCAGGGAGGAGACCCAGGGACCCTGGCTTGTGTCCGTAGCAGAGGGAATAACTCAGATGACTATCTCAGGCACTCGACGTGAGGTAGGCTTCCCCTTCCTATACAGCGCATGTGGGAGGGTCAGCGGGAAGAAAGGAGGCCCACAGATTCAGGGTCTCCCTTGGGTCTAACCAGCGGCAGTTACAGCACAGGAAAGCTCACCGTGCCTCAGCTTCCTTTTCTCTGAGAGCCTGGACCTAAACACCCAACACCCTGCATTTCATGAAATGCACAAAATAGGGATTTGTTAAGTGTGGGCTATGTGTTCTGGACACTGTGGACACAGCAATAAACAATCAGACCAGTGCCTGCCCTCACGTTGACGTTCCCAGTGAAGTAAATAGTAGTAATAGTATCATGCCTACTACTGAGGGACCCAGGTTTATGAAGAGACAAGGTCACACAGCTCCCACAGGGGCTGCATGGCTCTCTCTACCCACAAATACAAACAACAGCTTCACCAGGTCACTGTGAAGCTCACAGAGCTAAAGCTTCAGAGCTCTCGCCCACAGCAGCCCCTTCCAAGGCCCTGGAAAGAAACATATGCACATGGTCTTGGGTTTCTCTAAGCTCTGCCAAAGTCAAGTCTCAACCACAAGTGGAAAGAGCGCTGTCTCCCCCCACCCCGGTTTCCCTTCTGTTACGCCTGCCCTCCTGTTGTGTGATGTTTCAGTGGCCTCAGCGTTCAGGGAACACCCAAGCAGGAGTCAAACTGGTGAACTGGTGGGACACTGAGTTTATAGCAGGATGTATTTATGTGGTTCGCCGTCTCGCCCGCGTACAATGAGTGACTGCAAACGCTCCAGGGCAGACACAGCTCCCAAGAATATTCCTGCACCCAAGCGCCCACCACCAGCCCCGGTTCCTGACACCAGCCACACCGGCGGGTGAGACAGCACATGAACCTGTCCTACGGTGCCCGATGCTGAAGTATGGGGTGGAGAGGAAAGAGAAAGGTTAAAATGTATGGAGTCAGATGCCAACCTGGGAGAAATGCTTCCAGTTAGGAGACCTGTATAATTATAAGTGGAGGATTCAGCTCCTGTGGTCAAAGGGGAGATTCTCTTCTGTCAGAAATATACTTGATGCATGTACTTACAATGAACCCTAGTTTCTTTTTTTTTTTTTTTAAGATTTATTCATTTATTTTTGAGAGAGAGAGAGAGAGCACGAGCAGGAGGTTGCAGAGGGGGAAGGAGAGAGAATCTCAAGCAGACTCCTCACTGAGCATGGAGCCAGATGTGGGGCTCAATCTCACGACCCTGAGATCACAACCCAAGCTGAAACCAAGAGTCAGACGCTCAACCAACTGCACCACCCAGGCGCCCCAGCTTTTTCATTTTAATGGAATCACACAACACAGAATTTACCAAAATTCCTCTGTTTATGGGACATGAACATGTAGTAATACTACAAACAGTGTGTGTGTCTATGTGAATTTGCTCACTTTCTGTGTCTAAACTGTTAATAATGAAGGACAAATTTCGGCAGCCATCTCTTACTCGGCATCCTGGCCATCAGACCTCTGGTGAAGCCCAAGATTGTTAAAAAGAGGACCAAGAAGTTCATCCGGCACCAGTCAGACCGATGTGTCAAAATTAAGCACTAGTGGCGGAAACCCACAAGCAGTGACAACAGGGTGCAAAGAAGATTCAAGGGCCAGATCTTGATGCCCAACCCTAGTTATGGAAGCAACAAGAAAGCAAAGCACATACTGCCCAGTGGCTTCCCGAAGTTCCTAGTCCACAAGGTCAAGGAGCTTGAAGTGCTGCTGATGTGCAATGAGCCCTACCGTGCAGAGATTGCTCTCAGTGTCTCCTCCAAGAACCGCAAAGCCACTGTGGGAAGAGCAGCCCAGCTGGCCCTCAGAGTCGCCAATCCCCACGCCACGCTGTGCAGCGAAGAATATGGATAGACAGCTGATGTGCACGTCATATTTGTGTTAATAAAGCCATAAAACTACAAAAACAAACAAAAAAAAGACACATTTGGATCAACCATGCTAGAGAAAAGGCTGAATTGTCTTTTATTCTCTCCACAGAAAATTATTTTGGAAAATCATTATCATAGGAAGAAATGATCAAAGACTATGAAGCTAGAAAATGTAGGAATAAAAAGTATGATGGAGGTGTGTCAGGCAGTTAATTAAGAAAAATGTTATTCTTTTGGATTTTATAGTGTTTGAGGTATCTTGTCAGTTTTTAAAATATGCAAATTGTTGCAGCTCTTTTCTCTATTTTTTTCTTTACTTTTTTAAATTGTAAGCATAGCTGACATACAATACTATATATTTTTTTCTCTAAATAGTTACTTACATTCTTAATATTGGATTCCTAATTGTTATTCTTTCTCTTAAAGACAGCTCTCCAATCGTACAAGCTTTGACCCCCATAAAACCTTGACCCTCCCGGGCAGCCACCATCTCCTGAGCATCAGGATGTGCCAGGAACTCTGAGAGATCCTTCTCTGTGGATTATTTAAACTTAATCTTCAATCAGCCCACAGAGGTAAACTGAGGCTTAGAGCATTTATTCCAAATAACACAGCTCATTCTGCAGAGTAATAGCAAGGATTCAAAATCACATGGCGTCTGGAGCGGAGCCCCACACGCAAAGTAAGAACTTTTATGACAATCTATGTTTTTCTCTCTGAGCTCAAGATTCCTCATATTTAAAGACGAAGGGGTCAAAAGAGATTTAAATACCTGTATGTGCACAGAGGACAAGATACACATTACTGGTGATGGTGGCTGCCTCTCTCAGATAAACACTGGGCGCATCTTCCCATTTGTACGTAACTTAACATATGAAAGTCCTTAGCACAGTGCCTGGCACGTGACAAGCACCCAATAAATATTAGCTATTGCTATTTGTTAGTGCTATTGCCAATTACTTAAATAAATTAATTTTTAAAAATTAAAAGGTGGGCGCTGATGCTTAAAATCTCTTCCAGCTGGATTTGGTGTTTGTTTCGGTAACAGTTCCTAGCACATTCCAGTGCCAGGGGCTCTAGGGCACTATTGTGTTTAATACTCCCTGCATCTCTGTGCGGTAAGTACTGTTCTCATTCCATTCTGCAAATATGGAAACCGAGGCACAGAGGGGTTAAGTAACATACCCTAGATCACACAACCAATGAAGCAGAGGATAGGATGAACACCCAGGCAGGTGACTCTAAAAGCCAAATAAGAGAATGGCCTCACTGGCTCCACTCCTAGTATGATTCGTGGGTGTCCTAGCATCTTTTTCACTCTTAACGTGCGCATCGCCAATGAAATCCATATAAAGCAGGACAGTCATCAAGGAGCCTAGTGTGGGACATCTGCTGTCACTGCAGATGTGAAGGTGGCAGAAAAGCCCTACAGGGCTTATTAACAGCTAGAAATTCAGAAGGAAGGGAGTCAAGGATGGATAAGGAAGGAAGGAAACGCGTGAAGCATCTACCCTGAGTCTGACAGTGGACTGGACTGTTCCTCAGCTACCCTCCCATCACTGCAAAGGGGAGTCCCTCTCATCTTCATGCCCATTT